CAAGCTTTGCCCAAGCAGGGGTGAATAAACAAACAGATTTCAGCTTTACATTTGCATTATTAGAAAAGGCAGAAAAAAACCAAACCAAACCAAACCAAACAAAGAAAAAACACTAAAATAAGGAATAAACAAACAGATTTCAGCTTTACATTTGCATTATTAGAAAAGGCAGGAGGGAAAAAAACCAAACCAAACCAAACAAAGAAAAAACACTAAAATAAGAATTGCTACAACCTACACTATAGAGCAGCTAACAGCTATGACCATCAGCAGGGGCAATCCATCACAGCATCTCACAGACACTGCCTGCCTCCCTCCCTCCCCAAAGCCTCAGGGCACCATGCTCAGCTGCTCTGCCTGCCCAGAAAAGCCCAGACTGGTATCAGAGACTTACATTACTGATGCCAACATCAGAAGACTCCAAGGAGAGGGAAGTGCTGCAGGGAAAGGAGAGCAAACAGCAGGTCAGACACAAGGCATTGACCAGAGCTCACAGACAGACTTCAGCCACCTCCCAGTGCAGAGTTACTCAGCCCAAGGGCAGGGACCCCTGTGAGGCATCACCCACAAAGGGTAGAAAAAGCAGGGACTGCCACACTTGCAAGAAAAAAAATAGGAAAATAAAAGCTCCACGTGATTTTTATTTGCTTGTCAAAGAAGCAGCACTGCAGCAGGGCACACACAGCTCCTGGCTGCCCCTTCCCTCTCCCTGCCCAGGTTATTCACCTGCAGAAAGGAGTCACCTCTTGGCCAGCTAAGAGCACAGCTTCTAGACCCTGTGGCAGGGAGGTTGGAACTAGATGATTTTTAAGGTCTCTTCCAACCTAAACCATTCTGTGATTCTATGTAAAAACACCCAGTCTGGATTTAAGGACCTGAAGAATTTGCTACAGCTCCTCATCCATCACTGCAATAACACGACTATCCATTCCTAAAATGGATGCTTTATTTCCACTTTCAATTTCTCTTTTCTACTTCTATTGAATCTTGTTATACCTTTGTCTATTGAATTAAAAGCCTTTTGATGCATTTCTATTCCCTATATCGCTGCATCCAAGCTATGCCAATTTTGCTTCTAAATCCAGCTCTTTGACAAGCTAAATGGCCTGAAATCCTCAAACCTCCTGCTATAAGAAATGCTCTCCAATCTTTAATCATACCTTGACTGGCATTAATGACAGCACTTTCCTTTACTCCTTTATCACTCAAGTCCAATATCAGGCATTTCAAACCACTGCCCAGGATCAAAGCCAAGCTGACAGTCTTACAATTATTCAGGTTACCTCATTCCTCCTTGTTATAAAACTGACACACTTTTTCTCCAGCCTCCTAAAACTTTCCAGCTGCTGTAATCCTTCCTGAACCACCCTGCCCACCTCGTGCCATCAACCAGGTATGAAATTCTCAGATTCAGGAAATGAAGTGTCTGGTTTACAGACATTGAAAATATTTCAAGTCAGTGGCCCCAAAGCAAATGTCACAAGGCAGAGAATGTCACCAGCTGGTACAAGGGGGCCAACCTACCTGCCCAGGGACAGCCTCAGCACCAGTCTGCCTCCAACAATCGACACACGGACATTCAGAGCAAGGTCCTGGCAAGCAGAGAGATTGAGGATCAGCACATAGAGACATTCCCATCCCAGCCACCAGTCCCTCAGCTGGCTGCACACTGCAGCCCTTGGAGGTGTCTCCATCCACACTTACAGCTTTCAGCAGCAGAAGGTTGAGGACAGATCCATCTATACGGTTAATGAACACCTGAATCAGGACTCCAAGCTCAACGGTGGCTTTGTTTTCTTCCAAGAGGATGAGTGGGTTTCCACCCAACATCAGCTTGATGCTCAGAGGACTGGTCCCACGGCAGACAGAGCACTGTGGGAATTGGGGACACATGGAGGTGGCTACTGGCACCCCACACACCAGCCAGGCAGGGGACTGGCAGTCCTCAAGCAGACTCTCACAGCCCCATAGCTCCACAGGGCTTCCCACTGTTGGAGAATGGCAGGACATGATCCTGGGTAAGCACCTGGGGAAGGCTAAAAAGGGCAAGGACACAGTCCCCTGGGAATGCACAGACACAGTCACCTGGGAATGCAGTGTACAAGGAGGGCTCTAGAGATAGTAACTTATATATATAGATAGGGAGTAACTCAGCTGGGCAGATGGCAGGGGTAAGTCGTCCTGGAGTGTGAGACAAACAAGTTCGAGACAAACAGCTAGGAATGCAGCCAAGCCTGGGAAAGCAAGAGATAATCCTCACAGCTGCAGCTGCAAGTAGGGAGAGTACCTGAATGCTATCTCTAGAGCTTAGCCAATTATAAATGATTGATAGTTGTATGCCTGTCATGGCCTGTATAAGAAAGAGCCTGTCGGACAATAAAGTTGGAGCTTGCTGTATCACCCACACGGAGTCGGCCGCTTGCTTCCCCGCACGGAACCTTCACCTTTCCCAACATCCCCCGAGGTCACATAGACCTTGGACAAGCTATATGTACAGAGCAAATAGGTCCAGCAGCATGGGTTGGCTCTCCATGCTGTGGGCATAAGGAGCTGAGGAAGGAAAGGGGGACATGGAGGGGGCTGTGCGTGTCAGAGGGTTCCCAGGAATTGGGAGATACCAGACAAGGAAACAGAGATGCCAGATATTTATCAGCTCTCTCTGTCGATGGCTATGAGCTGTGAGAGAAGACTTTTGCCTGCTTAGGGAGTGGGAGGAGGCTGGAACAGCCGATGGCACACCGGGCAGAGGCTGCCAAACCCCCAGTCCCTTTGCCTGCTCCCATCAGCTGGTTGGGCAGCAGGGCAGCCTCAGGCCGTGCTGGTGCAAGAGGAGGGGAGCAGAAGACTGGGGACCTTTGGCAGCAGCATGTCTGCATGTCCAGATGCATCCCTTGGACAGCTCAGACCTGACAGTGTTTCCACAAACCCTCATGCCAGAACAAGTTACTCACCCCAGCAGGAGTGATGGTCCACATGGCTTCCTGCAGACGGCTGGCACCAGAGAACTGTGGGAACAGAAGCACCAGCAGCCCTGATGAGCACTCCAGCCGATTTCAGCAATACCTGTCCTGCCAGGGTCACCCCCTCCCACTTGTGCCGCTGTTCCCAGACAGCTTGTCCACATTCCGGGGGCCAGTTCACTCTGTCATTCTGTCCCCAGCAAAGCCCCAGGTGGCTAAGTCTCATGCAGACGGATCTTAAGCAGCACCCCAGGCCTTCCACTCTCTCCACTGCTCCCCAGCTGCTCCAGTGATTCCCAGTCAGTCATTGAGGTGAGAGCACCCAGCAGTGGCAGATGATGTCACCCAGAGGCTTTCAACACCTTTCAGTGTGTGTACTCCTAACATTTCCCATTGGAAGCACAGATCAGAGGCACAGGAGGTGCAAGCTGCCAGGGAATGGCACTGCACACACACAGTGGCTTTTCTTAGTGCCATGTTGCAGATTCCTTGACATGAATCACAACCTCCAGGAGTCCATGCCACAACCAGTACACAACTGGTCTCAACAGGTATCTGTGGGGTGCCCACACAGAAACAAGCATGGCTGAGCAGTGCAGGTGCTATCACAGCTTTCTGAGAAGAGCAGGAAGGAGGCAGCTCTGGGGCTCAAGCCTTGCTGGTAAGCACACACACAGGGACATGCACACACAGCCCTGAGAGCCAGCTGTGCTGGACATGCCACGAACAGCAGAGCAGAACCAAGGCCAGGCTGATGCTGTCCCTTGTCACCCCCTCTGGCATGAAGGACAGGTGGTGCTGCACTCACCACGTCTGGCGCACAGGGGAAGGTCTGTGGTGGCATCTGGAGCAGGAGGGTCAGGACTGCGTTGAGGAAGCTCTGGCGCAGCGCCAAGAGCAGGATCCTGTCCAGCAGTGGGGGCAAAGCAGAGGGGGATGAGTCGTGGGGAATGATGCTGCCTCCCACCTGCTTCACTGCACCCTGCAAAGAGAGGTGGCATGGATGTCAATCCCACTATCAAACCACGAGGCATGCCCAGATCTCAAGATGGGAGTGCAGGGCTGGTGCCAGCTGAACATCTCCCCTCTCACCAGAGCTTTGGGGAAGCACTGGACTCAGAGCAATTCCCTCTATATTTCATAGATGACAGGAGCTCATAAAGGTGAGTTACTGAAGTCTTCTTAGATATAACATGCTTTGGCCAAATCAAAACTCACTGCTTCCAGCCATCCTTGAGGTCTCATTCCAAGCACAAATGAGGGGTGATGGTGCTTACCCTGGCAGACCCAGCCCTCCAGCACCTCTGACTTCATGGAAACCCACATTGACACCATCTCCTGGCTAAGGAGACCATCTCTGACCATCCAGGGGGAGTTGGGGTGGCAAAGACTCATCTCGATGAGGTGACTGCACCAAAGCCAGCACAGCAGTGTAGGTCTCATGGGCTACAGTGTACACTATCAGCCCTTGCTCCTCTTTAGTGTGCTCATGTCCCAGTTGCTTCTCACCAGCCACTTGCTTTTATTTAAGCTTTCCTGTTTGAAAGTAGTTTGCTTTTTGCTGGATTTCTTTTTCCCCCCAGTGAGACAGAAGCAAAAATATATCCATTAACCTGGTTTAGCATTCACCCACCACAGAGACTGAATAACGAAGGCAAAAAGCACCAACACTAGGTCTGCAGGGTGAGAGAGAGGAAGAAAACTGCTCATCCCAAGAGAAGCAGAACTGCTCATCCCAGCAGCTACAGCCAACAGACACACAGCCTCAGGCAGTCTCAGGTTAAGTTTGTAAACAGAGCAAATGAAAAGCACACACAGTCACTTAGTGGTGATTTGGATAAAGATCTGAATACTTAGGATCTTCCATTTCCAGGACAAGTCATTAACCCAGCTCTTCCATGTGGTTCTACAGCTCACACAGCCACACTCAGAGGGTCCTAGTGTCCAGTGTTAACTTACATCTAAATCCAGCCCAAGGAACTTGCCAGAGGTAAAGGGGACACTGGCCAGCTGGTAGTGGATCGTTCCTGCTGTGCCAACTGGGATCACGGCTACATGCAGAAAAAAGATTGTTACATCAGGAAATAAGCAGCAACACAACTCCTCCCCAACTTTGCAGACCACCAGCCCCAACACCTACAAGCTGGCCTGAGCATTCACTGCTGCAAAGTGCTCACTGCTACTCCAAATGGCCAAAACATCCCCAAATTCAGCTTGGTAGGATCTGCCTTTAGGATATAGCCCAAAAAGAGTGGGAACTGTTCACTTAGAGTGCTCAGGTGTGAATTCAAGGTTCAATAACAGCCCTGCAGAAGTGTTGGACTTCTCCTGATGGATTTGACTTGGGGAAGGGCCTTCCCACCATGGAGAGCATGGGGAAGCAGCACCTCATCCTCCACAAGAACACACCATTGAGAGTGCCCAGGAGCTGGATGTTCACAAGGTTCATCACAATGTCAAGTACAGGACACAACTGCAACACAAAGCAGAAATGTGACCACTCAATCACCCTCACCACCATCACCCCATGGTCTGCCCAGACACCCTTTTTTTCATGTAGATCCACAGGGAAACAGTGCTGCATGGCACTAGGCACAGCAGGGATGCTGTGAGAGCCTTGGGGGCAGTGGAGCATCCCTGGAGCTGTGGGACCACACAGAAGGGGTCTGCTTTGATCTGGGGAATATCTCCAGCATTATCCCACCAGCAGCAACCCATTGGAGCTGCCAGGATGCCCAGGGGCATCCCTGCCCTGAAGCACATGCCAGTGACATGGGAGAATAACACAGAAAGGCAGTGCAGCTTGCTGTGACCTCAGAACATGTTTTTCCCAATATCTCTGTGTTTCAGCTGTGAAAGGAGAGCAATGTTCAGCCATACCAAAGCAGGCAGAGTCGCTGTCAGCTGGCGAAGCACTATCTCATTTACTGACAGGGTGAGTAAGCTGAAAAGGAAAGACAAAAAACCTCCCAATCAGTACAAATAAAGCTCCAGGATGGGACACCAAAGGATCTCAAACCTTCATTTTACACCCTACTATGTCCTTAGTGATTCCTTCAGGGCCACTGCTATGGTTGATATTGGCCAGAGCAGGGGCTGGGGAGAGTGCCAGGGGGTCAAAGACGCCACTCACCCCACTGAGAGGAGAATTGGACTCATTGCTGAGAACCACAGAATCATTAAGGTTGGAAAAGATCTCTAAGATCATCAAGTCCAACCGTCAACCCAGCACTACCACCATGCTCACGATTAAACCATGACCTCAGGTGCCAAAACCACATGTTATTTTAATACTTCCAGGGATGGTGACTCTACCACCTCCCTGGGCAGCCTATTCTAATGATTGACAGCCCTTTCCATGAAGAAATTTTTCCTTCAGCACCTGTGGGGCACAGATATCCCTGTGCAAAAGGAATGAGCCTCACCAAACCTGTGTTTGGTGTCTCCCTCTGGTATTTAAATCAGTGCTGTAGTTAAGGGAAGAGGGAGCTGTTAGGAAATATCTTCATGTTAGTTACTTGGAACAAACAATTTGCATCTGGAATAACAAGAGGAGAAATCTGCTGTGTGACATTTCCACGCTGCTGAACAGCTCGCCCGGGACGTGCGGTGCCTGCAGCAGCACAGAGCCAGTTACGTCTGATAATCAATATTATTTAAATCAGTGCTGTAGTTAAGGGAAGAGGGAGCTGTTAGGAAATATCTTCATGTTAGTTACTTGGAACAAACAATTTGCATCTGGAATAACAAGAGGAGAAATCTGCTGTGTGACATTTCCACGCTGCTGAACAGCTCGCCCGGGACGTGCGGTGCCTGCAGCAGCACAGAGCCAGTTACGTCTGATAATCAATATATTTCTGTTGGGTTGGC